ATCCATCTTCCCTCTACTCGCCCAAACCGGGAGCAGCACCTCCACAGCCCTGCTGGGTTTCAGAGCCGCAGGAGCCAGTGTGCAGGCTGCACTCAGCATCCCTGCGTTTTCTCTCATGCTTTCCTCGCAGGGAGATACCATCCTCCTTGAGCTACACACACTCCACCCGCAGGAGTTTCAAGAACACAGATGCCTGGGCTGATTTAGAGAGGAAAACTTTCCATGGGCTTTATCTTGCCCATCACAGGCTGTTTCCCTTGGTTATGGCTCCACATCCGCAGTCGACGCAGGCTCTGCTCCCGCCTGGCGCAGGGTGTCTGGTGATGCTCACTGCTGCAGCAGAATTGCCACCAATTCCCATCAGGACCAACATACATATCAGAAAGAAGCAATTTATTTATTTATCACCAGGCAAAAGCCCAATGGTTTTACTTTTGGCAGTTCAGATCTACCATTAGATCTGCTTGCAGTATGGAGCTCAGTATGAGGCTTTAGAGCTCTGTCATTAAAGTTGTCAACAATAAATTGAAATTTCATAGCTCATTATTTTCATAACTAATAATTACAGTGGGAAAAATGTCTCTGTAATTGCAGCTCTGTGTGTGCATCTTTTCACGTGTGTGAAAAACGTGAATCCTTATGATAAATCCTTACATTTGGAATTTTATGGTCAGAATTTTTGAGTCCTTGATGCAGCCTTAGAAAACACCCAGGAACAGGGAAACAGCAGTTGCGTGGCAAGTGAAGCTGTCACCCCTCGGAGGAAGGTGCCTTGAGGCTGCCCACCCTCCACCTGCCTTGGCAGCTCACTTCGAGTGAAAGGCCCTGATCTGATGCGCATGAAATGATGTCTGCAGCTATCTTTGCCTTTAAGATGGAGATGGGAGTCAGGGATGCCTGAGCACTCTGGCTGCACCCAGCTTCATGGCCAGGGCAGAGAGGAGCAGGATGTCAGTGACAGTGTGGGGTGAGGGGTGTCCCTGCAACAATGAGCTCCAGGGTAGGGGCCTGGGCCCTATCCTGACCCTCCTGTGCGAAGTGAGCCTTCCCGTGGGCTTGTGTGTGCCTTGGCAGGCCATGAGACCGGGTAAGTGGGCAGGGGTTAGAGAGCTTGGGTGTGGAGGTCTTGCTGGCCAGAGGGCACCAGGGCTTTCTCCCCTGGTGAGCACACTACTGTGGCAGCATCATGGTGGCAAGACACTTCAGGGTCATAGTAGTGGGGCTCTTTGCTGCTGTGGTGGTGAGGCTCTTCTTTGTTGTTGTGGTGAGGCTCTTTGCTGTTGTGGCTTTCCTACCATGGTGATCAGCCATGGGAAGGCACCAGCTGGTGTGTGCCGGCGTGGCGCCCTGTGCTGCTGGGGATGCTCTGCTTAGCCAGGCTGTCCTGCGGCGCAGGGCAGTGCCCGTGGACACTGCTGGAGAAAAACGCTAAGGAACATTTAGAAAATCCATCATTTTGACTGGATCTGAGAAAATCGTGGCTTGTTGTCTGGTAGCATTTTTGTCCGACTGCTTCTACACCCTCCTCACCAGGTTGGTGCCAGCAGCCAAGGTTACCAGGAGTGCAAGGTTTTAGGAGGCTTATGTGCCACATTTACCATTGTTTCGTTGTGTCCTCATGAAAGTGTGGGAGGAGCTGAATTTTGCCCCATTTGCCCTAAAGCAGGGGCAGCAGGAGGGTTAATCCACCTCTGACACCCGATGCTTTCCAGTACTGATAGTGCTTAAATTGCTTGTGGAAACGGGTAGGCCTGAGTCAACATCTGCACCTAGAATATCTGAAAACATGTGCAAAGAACCTTGTGTTAGTCTCTTTAAAGGGATCTTAGGCTCTGCACACAGAGCTTCCCCAGAAAGTCTGAAAACTGGTAGCCTGGCAGAAATGTGATGAACGTGGTTGCGTGTTGCAGTGAGGCAGACTTATGCTGTGCAGCCTGTTTGTGCTCTGCTCGGGCTGGAAAGGTGGGGGAATTATTTTTGTTTTCATGTAATGAGTATGGCAGCTGCAGAGAAAAT